GACCTGGAAGAAACTTGCAAGAAACGAATAGGAAATGCAAAAGCGAAATGAAATGGGCGCACATACAAACAAACACCCACACACACACACAGCACACATGCATGTATCGCACGTTGTTATTGTTATTATGTATGCGTTTTTATAAGCCTCCCATTCTTAACACTATGAGGCTAGCTGACGACGACGACAACAGCGCGCAATTGCCAACAATGCACTTGTGGGGCATCAATATAATGTGTAAATGTGTACCTTTGCGTATAGCATCTCCTCGCTTGACATGATTGCAGCAGCAGCAGCACCAGCAACGGCAGCCGCAGTGTCGTGTTGTCCAAGGGCCTATGTACAGCTTCGCCGGGCACTTAATACTCTATTTTGTCGTACCGCCCAACTTCCACGGTGAACAAGGCAATTGAAATGTGCATAAAACCCGTTAGTACTGTCTTCTCAATTCCAATTTGGGTTAAGCAAATTTGTTCTTCTCTTTTTTTCTTTTTTTTTTTTTAATTTACTTGTTTTCCTTTACTGTCTATTAATTTCCTTAGTTTTTTTTTTTTGTTTCTGGGTTTTTCTTATTAGTTTCACATTCAAAGTTATTGAGACATTGTCTTTGAAATCAAAAGTTGTTTTTGGTTAATTTTTTAGTAGAGGCCGGATTTTTTTGAAATTTTGCTACATTGGTAATTTAGAAGACACTGCTAACAATAAAGACTGCTCGCCCTGGTCCCGTCTCTAAACTAAGTCTGACTGACGTAGAATGTTGTGTTGCCAAAAAGGGCAGGGTTGCCACATGGCCCCACTGTTCTGGCCAAGTTAACAATGTTAGAAACGATTTCCTTGTGTTATGGGCGGACTACTGATAAGTTTGAAATGGGCACACGAAAATGTTGTAGTTAATTTCCTTACCATTTTCATCGCGATTATTCGAATTGGAGTTTTTCGCGGCAAGTGCCAGCTGTACGTTTTACAGCACTACTTACTGCCCCATTGACATTTACCAACACTACGCACACGCGTCTCAGCTGCAACTGTCAACATTTCCCGCGCAAATTCACAGCGCGTTCCTCCATAAACAAGATTCAGAAGTGCTGCTATTTGTTGTGGAATACTTGGAGAACTTGCACGGAAATAAGTGAAATAATTTGAAAATGTCAAGTCCAGCTCAATCACCCAATGTCAGGTCTGGCACACCAAAGCAAGGAGCGCGCACGCCCACACGAGGTGAGTTTTGAGTGCACATTTGAAATAACATTAACTAAATTTATGTGTGTGCGTAGGCATTGCTGCTCAGGATGTAGATACACCCATGCGCATGGGCCCTGGCCGAGTGGCCGGCAGGGCATCGGACAACATTAGTCTGCCGCCCACATCGCCGGCCAATATTAGCTTGCCCGCTACGAGTCCGGCTCGAGGCCTGGGCGGCATGAGTGAGATTGACTTGAGCTCTCCGCTAAACTATGGCACGCCCAGCTCCATGGGCTCTATTCGTACACCACGCTCCGGTATACGCGGCACTCCGTTGCGTGCGCGTCCAGATATACGAACGGACAAGCGCATACGCCAAGTGGCCATTGGGGGCACATCGGGTGTAAGAATCTTTATATTCTGTAATTTCACAGTTAGAATATACTATAGCCCATATTCTTACAGCTGGAACCCATAGCCGAAAAGGGATCAGAGACCGATCCGGTGTCGGAGTCCTCTTCAGCTCCTCAGCTGGTTGTCTGGGGCACCAATGTGGTTATCAGTCAATGCAAGTCCAAGTTCAAATCGTTTATTATGCGCTTCATCGATCCCAGTGCAGAGCAGGATGAGATTTCGGAAAATATAGATGTTAATCAGCCATTGTATCTGCAAAAGCTGGAGGAGATTCACACGCTGGAGGAGCCCTATCTGAATCTGAATTGCGCACATCTGAAGACATTTGATCAGGACTTGTACCGCCAGTTGATATGCTATCCACAGGAGGTGATTCCTGGCTTTGATATGGCCATAAATGAGATGTTCTTTGAGCAATATCCGGCCGCTGAGCTAGAGCATCAGATTCAAGTGCGACCCTTCAATGCGGATAAGACACGTAATATGCGCTCTCTGAATCCGGAAGACATGGACCAATTGATTAGTATTAGTGGCATGGTCATTCGCTCGTCGAACGTAATACCCGAAATGCGTGAAGCGTTCTTCATGTGCAACATTTGCTCCTTCTGCACCACCGTCGAGGTGGATCGCGGTCGCATTGCCCAGCCAACGCTGTGCACCAATTGCAACACCAATCACTGCTTCCGCATCATCCACAATCGCAGCGAGTTTACAGACAAGCAGCTCATCAAGTTGCAGGAATCTCCCGACGATATGGCAGCTGGCCAGACGCCACACAATGTCCTGCTATATGCCCACAACGATCTGGTAGACAAAGTGCAGGCGGGTGATCGTGTCACAGTCACTGGCATCTATCGTGCCACGCCCCTAAGAGGCAAAGGCCAGAATGTGAAGAGTGTGTACAAGACGCACGTCGATGTGGTTCATTTCCGTAAGGTCGATAACAAGCGTCTGTACGAAGAGGAGGAGGGGTGAGTAGTTACAATGTATTTGTCATAACAGAAATTGTTATTAACATTCACTCGTTGCTTCCCCCTACAGCAAGGATCACATATTCCCACCCGAGCGTGTGGAACTGCTGCAATTGCTGTCGAAGAAGCCCGATATCTATGATCGCTTGGCCCGCGCTATTGCGCCCTCCATCTATGAGAACGATGACATTAAGAAGGGAATACTGCTGCAGCTCTTTGGCGGCACCAAGAAGAAACACTCGACGCTTGGCCGCCAGAACTTTAGGTCGGAAATTCATTTGCTGCTCTGCGGTGATCCAGGCACATCCAAGTCGCAAATGCTGCAGTACGTCTACAATCTGGTGCCGCGGTCGCAGTATACATCGGGACGTGGCTCCTCAGCTGTGGGCTTGACTGCCTATGTGACCAAGGATCCGGAGACACGTCAACTAGTGCTGCAAACGTAGGTGATCCGCACTTCCCATGTAAACTATCTACTAAAGGATTCTTTCAATTCTAGTGGAGCTCTTGTGCTAGCTGACAACGGTGTTTGCTGCATAGATGAGTTCGATAAGATGAACGATTCAACGCGCAGTGTCCTGCACGAGGTGATGGAGCAGCAGACCTTGAGCATCGCCAAGGCTGGCATCATTTGTCAATTGAATGCAAGAACATCAATTTTGGCTGCCGCAAATCCCGCCGAGTCACAGTGGAATAAGCGTAAAAATATCATTGACAATGTCCAATTGCCGCACACGTTGCTCTCGCGCTTCGATTTGATTTTCCTGGTACTGGATCCTCAAGATGAGCTCTTTGACAAACGTCTGGCAAGTCATTTGGTCTCTCTTTACTATGTGACCCGTCACGAGGAGGAAGACACTATGTTTGTAAGAATCCAGACACTTCAGAACTTCAAGAGCTTCTCTTAATAACTTTTCTTGCAGGATATGAGCGTTTTGCGTGATTACATTGCCTATGCTCGGGAGCATCTGTCGCCCACTCTCTCGGATGAGGCGCAACAGCGTCTGATCCAGGCGTATGTGGATATGCGCAAGGTGGGCGCTGGCCGTGGTCAGATCTCAGCTTATCCCCGGCAACTAGAGAGCTTGATCCGTCTGTCCGAGGCGCATGCCAAAGTTCGGCTAAGCAATTCGGTGGAGCTGCAGGATGTGGAGGAGGCTTGGCGTCTGCATCGCGAGGCACTTAAACAATCTGCTACGGATCCGCTATCGGGCAAAATCGATGTGGGCATCCTCACCACCGGCTTGTCTACGGCAGCTCGCAAGAAACGCGCCGACTTGGTCGCTGCCATCAAGGAAAATCTTAAGAAGAAGGGTAAAGTGCCAACTGTGCCCTACCAGAAACTATTCAAGGAGATCAAGGAGGGCTCTCAAATTGTAAGTTTTTTATTACCAATTTTAATTACTTACTAATTGAAATTAACTTTAATTTTAGATGATTACACGTGAACAATTTGAGGATGCTCTGAAAGAAGTTCAAGATGAAGGAGCCATAGTTGTTATGGGCAAAAATACCATTAGAATTTGTTAATTTCATTACACACACACACAAAGAAAACCTTACTCATTCCTAGTTTTAAGCCAAAAAGTTTTTAAATAAAGATCATGTTTTAAAATATATATTTAAATATATCGACGGTTAATTTATCGTTAAGCTATCGAGAATTTTCTTGTGCGCGCCGATTATAAACAAGTGAAAAGTGTTACTGCATTTCGGTATATAAAAATACCAATAAAATATGCCTACGTTGGCAACTCTTTTTTTAGATTACCTCACTCGCTCTATTGAGCGAGACAACAAGCGAACCATTAATAAGCAGGCACAATCACGGCATAACAATAAATGCTTTGTTTTTCCAAGCCCTGCTACGAGCGTAGTAAAGTTTGGATTGTACGAGCGAGTAGGAGGACAGTTGCGTCACCAGACAGAGACACCAGCACCTATCCCACTCACACACCGCTCAAACGGCAGCCCGGGAGATCAGCTGACAACGGCGGCAGAGGCTGAGGCAGTGGCAGTGCAAGTGGAAATCAAATTGGCATCAGCGTTCAGTATTAGGTGAAACTGCAGCTCCAGCATTTAAAACATGGCATCCACCTCATCTGGCACACTGGAGGGCACGCTGAGCAAATGGACAAACGTAATGAAAGGATGGCAATATCGCTTCTTCGTTTTGGACGAGAATGCGGGCCTGCTCTCCTACTATACGGTAAGTGATCCTCACTTCTCCGTTGACAAGTGATGGAAATATTTGTCATGTTTATCTACTTAAATTGGAGCTGCGTTAATTGTTATCTTATCTGGCAGTCAGTCATAAATAAGAGCTTCGCCTCCCTCAACCCAATTGTCGTCAATTAATCAAATTTCAAAATTCACACACATGTGCGTGTGTGTGTGTGTGTGTGTGTGTATTTGTCTGTTTGGCTGTACATATATATGTATATATTTATTGTAATTTCACCTCAGCTGCTTCAGCTGCAGCAGCAACAACGGCAACAGCGATAGAACTTTTTCTGCGCTTGGAGCTCTGGTAGGACTTGCGATAGAAGTCGTAGAATCCATAGAACATAAGCCCAATAACAAATATGAAGTACATGAAGATGGCCTTCTCCACGCCGCAATTCACCGATACCAATATGGCATGGATTAAGATCAGTATGAACTGCACCATCTGCAAAACCGTTATTGACTTCTTAACGGGCATCAGGGCACGCACCGTTCGCTTATCAGCCACGGCGGCAACCAGATAATAGGTGTACATAATGATATGGACATTGGAATTGAGCAGAATGGGAAACAGCGCATCGCAGCCTGTAAGAAAGCAATCAATGTAGAATTGCGTCAGTCAGCAAAAAGCTCCTTCGAGGAGTATCAACAATTTGGGTACGCACCATTTTTACGATTGTGATTGATCAGCATATAGATGAGTGTGACGGTGCTGATATGATGGAACACGTGCAGCTTGGTCACCTGATTCTGTTTCTGGCGCATCACGAATATAACCGTCTCTATGAGCTCCGACAGCTTTAGCCAGAAGAGGAAGTAGGCCAAGCGGAAATGACGAGCCATCCGTTCGGGCGTCTCCTCCACAACGCTGCATTTCCAAAAGTACAGAATCGTATACTCCGTTATGTGCAGAATCTGGCGATAGTATCGAATGTTCAATATATATTCAGAGATGATAACTTTGAAAGATCTTCAATGTGGACCCACCTCGTAGACAACGAATATGCACGACACAACCTGAACAATATTATGCACTATAATCAATTTTTTCAGTTCATACGGTTTTCGAAAGAGCATAAAACTTGAAAGTGTAAAATACAAAATTCGATTACTGTTGTACAGTTTCAGGGCGTAACATATTCCCCAATAGGTCAATTCGACTTGAATTCAAAGTTTAGAGTCCGCTTTGCATAAATTATTTTGTCCATCGCATTCGAAATTCTAGTTCTAAATGCACAAAACTTGGATACTTTTGATACTCACTTGGGTCCCAGACGGGTCACCACAACCAAATATAATCCCAGGACACTCAGCATAAACCAAGGCGTGGCCATTATAGCAGGATGCTGGACATCATATGCTTTGATAAAAAATTTTATATAATTCTCAATTGGAACTTTGTTTCAAATGCACTCAAATTCTCACTGGGCTTATCCATTTTGAACTGTATTCCGTGTGCCGTATCCTTAAATATATATATATATGTATGTACAAATGTGGACTAATCGAGCCGATTAGCGCTGGGAATGTTCACGTCCCGACTTATCGCTGATGTGTGGGCATTTGTTAATTGATTCTTTTGGTTTTGAGCACCTTAGCGACTCGGCAAACTGAATTAATTTATACAATTAAACTTATTTTGCATTCCGACGTTACGCTGGCCTATGCGAACGTCACGCGCCGTCACAGACCCTTTCAAATGCGTAGTATCTATGTGGTATATATGTTTATATATTATATACATTTATATATCTTTCTTTCCAATTACAGTCCAAGGAGAAAATGATGAAGGGCGTGCGGCGCGGTTGCGTTAGACTCAAGGATGCCCTCATTGGCATCGATGATCAGGAGGATAATACATTTACCATAACTGTGGATCACAAGACCTTCCATTTTCAGGTACGTGTAACGTTCATATACTAATCAAAATGATTTACAATTCAGTTATTAAGTAAAGTTTTTTTATTTTTTATTATTAGTTCATTCAGTTCATATTATATAGAATTTGTAACTTTTGTTAAGTTTTAGAACTTTTCACTGTACAACAAAATTGAAAACAATTTAAGTATGCAAAAATATTTAAATTAGTTTTCACAGAACTATTGCTTATCGGTGTATACAGGGCTCTACATACTTTCAATTATTTACGTTACCTTATATACGATATATTTGCTATATATTGGACTTCTGAACTGTAACGTCGCTGCCTAATTGTTAACATTAGCTGCTTTATATGTACACATGTAAATCGACTTTTAATGAAATTCCATTTAATTGTTTAATTTTCTTAGCTTTGGTCAGCTTTGCTAACATTTCTTAATTAATGTATTCCTTCCTGGGTGGAAAAATTAGAAGCTCGTTCAATAAACAAATACATTTCTAATAACGATATTATATGTGTGTGTTTGTACACACAAATACATATATATCAATAAGATTAGTTATGTCAATCTATGTCTGTTAATCCTTTAAGGAATATGCCTAGCTTATACACAATGAATTTTCGGGCAGCGCCTTCCTCTTCGATTCTCACAAATTCAAGTAGAGTCGAGTCTTTTTCTTTTTAGCTATATAATTTTTTTTTTTTTTTCTGTGGAGGCTGATGAGACGTAGCAGTATGGAGTGAAATAGTTGGGAGAGGTGAGAGCTTATTGGATGGCAGCAGGAGAAGAGGAGGAGGCGAAAGGGAAGCAGAAAGAATATTGCATACATATATATTTATGCTCCTCTGTAGTATTACTCAAAATAGGCCATAATTCTACTCTTTCAAACGAGCTGACTCTCTGCTCTAATAGAGCAAATATATCATATATACATATGTATGTGTATATATATTTATTTGAGAGTAGATTTAATATAGTACATGTATATTGACACGCTTAAGCCTAATACGCCTTTATTAAATGGGCACTAAACTTTTGAACTCTCAAGAACTACACACACAGAGCCTCATACACTGACCCTCCCACACAGAGCTCACATAGGAGTCCACACAATCTGAACCACTTACTCCCACACATTGTCAAGTCTATATTTCTTAAGTATTTTCACTGATTTCGTTTCTCTGCTTGTTTCTCCTTTCCCTCCTTTTCCCTTTGGCGCTGCTGCTCCACCTTTTTTGTAACGATAAAACTTATTGGCAAACGAAACGAACGGCCAACTATCGCACCACCCGACCACCCAATCGAACTGTATGCAGGCGCGGCACGCCGACGAGCGTGAGCAGTGGGTGCGACGTCTGGAGGACACAATACGACGGCACGCGAATCGTTCGCGTCTGTGGGACAGCCAGAGCGCCTTCTACATTGCCGGCGGCTACACGAAGGAGTCGAGTGGCAAACGGGCCAATCACTTGGAGCTGGTCGGTCGCCGCGTCGCCGAAGCGGATGCCTACCTGCAGTTGATGATAGAGCAAACCAACGTGAGTGGCGGGCAACTGAAATACAATATGTTAGATTTAACCTTTATGTAATCAAAATCAAACTCAAATTTCTTAAACAAATCCTCAACAGTCGCTGGACAAACGCATCGCTGAGCTGAACGACGCCACGGAGCAGGCCAAGTGCAAGGCCCTACAGGATAACGCAAGTGTGAGTAGAATGCAGTCTTTGGTCAGCAGATCGGGCTCCAGTTGGGGCTAAGTTGCGTAAGATCAATCTCCAGATGCAGTTCGTCTCGAAAGTCATTCGATATCTTTTGAATCTCGCTGAACGATAGACGCCAATAGTTTGTATCCACCGGCATGAAGCGACCCGCGTCTCCACAGATTCGCACCTGGCAGACGGCCACCTGGGCCTTTGCCTGGATGGCTGCATCCCGTCCACAGAGTTTCAGGCTGGCACGCAGCTTCACCTGCAGATCCTGTGTCGTCGCTAGCCAAATGACAAATACCTGATCTTCGGCATTAGTTGGAGGCAAGGTGCGATGTGGGAGTGGCTTGTCCTGCAAGGCAGCCTTCGAAGCCGTCAAGCAGATGAGCACCACAATTGGCACGTTGCTGGCCAGATGAGCTTGCTCCTGGGGCAAAAATGCGTCGTATATGTCGCCAGCTGATTTCCACAAATCGAGCGGCTTTTGCTGCTGCTGCTTCTCCGCCATCCATGGGCCAATATAGGCGAGCAATCCAATCACATGGTTCTGCTTAAACTTACAGCAACGGCTATCAAAGGACAGGATGACACGCTGGCCCTTGCACACCTTGTGGCAGCGCTGCGAAGCGGAAGTTTCCTCATTGTGATCGCWGAAGTAGTGCAGCAGCAGCAGATGACTGTCGACGTGCATGTGGCAGTAGTCAAAGAGACACGGACTGGACTCGCAGTTGATGACCAGCTGATTCTGATCTGGCTGTAGCTCGTCCTTCTGCTGGCAGCCCGTTAGCTCCATTGGCTGTTGACTAGGAACGATGTCATTCGTTTTCTGTTTATGTATTAGATCCAGTTCACAAATGCTCGAAGGCAGCTCCTCAATGGCATTGTCATCGTGCCAGCATAGAAGCTCCGATTGGCGCGTATGCAGTGTGCTCATTTCCAGGCGCAGCTCCTGCATTTCGGCGCGTAAATCCTGTAGCTCCTTATCGAGTTGAATCCTCGCGTCTTGGGTCTCGTCCGCCCTGAGCAAGCGGGCACGGCGCATTTTATAGTTCTCGAAATTGTGGCGTATCTCATCCATGGAATGTTCCATGGGGTCAATCAGTTCGTCATCCATTTAGCCAAAAAATTATCTAATTTTTCTTCTGTATAAATAATCTGTGTGAACAGCATGTTAGACGTTTCTTACAATGTGGTTTAAAGCAAAGTTGTTTGTTTCGTTTTTAAATTGAAATTTGAATTTAGTCAAGAGTTTGCTGAATTATTGATTTTCAATGCAAGTTCAGGGTTAGGCCCGAGAAGGGCTCGTATTATTAGATATGCATGAGGGGTATGGGAAAATTCGCCAACTTGCGCCAGCTGCTGCAACAAAGCAGCTGCTCATTTCCTTGGCAAACTTCGAGCCAAACTGTATTCGGAACAGAACAGAACGAATCAGTGGTCAGGCGAATAGAGTGGGACAGGCGCTGGCTCAGTCCATCCGGCATTGTTATTTAATCGAGGTCTTGACATCTTTTGGTGCTGTATTTGTTTTAAACCATTCTCTCTCTCTCTCTCTCTTTCTCTCTCTTTTGTTTATTTATTGCATTTTGCAGGCCATGTTGGATCATATCAAACACTCAATTGTTAGTCTACAAATTGCCAAAAATATGGCGCACCCCGTCAATGGCATTTACAATGGCCCCACAGTTACAACAAACACGACGGGCATTATGATGGCATCGCCGGGCAGCGGCGGCGGCGGCGGTGGAGGTGACGGCGGCGGCGGCAGCAGCAGCAGCGGTGGCAGCGGCATCGGCGACAAGCCAAACGAGGCCCATTTGTCGCTCAAGAACGAGCTGGCCGGCGACGATGAGGATGATTCAGCAACGGAAAACGGTAAATGTCGTCCCAGTGCATATTATTTTTTTTATGGTCTCATTTGCGCTGCATGTTGTTTCTGTTTCAATTTGACTGTTTACCCTTGAAATGGCCATAGGGTATATTAGATATCTCAAGCGATTTGCGATTGTCTTATCTCTTTGTTTAAGCATGTGTATATGTATGTACACATATAAAACGCTTGATAAGCCCTTTATACACATATAGGCGAACTCTTGTTTATCATTTGATTTATAAACAAATGTGCACAGAGATAATACCATGTACAATAGTTGTGTTATTTAATGAGTATATTATTATTGCAGATATTCTTTCTTTAAAAAATTCTATAGAATATAATGCAAACATCTGTTAATACAAGTCAGATATAGGGTATTTTGACTTCTGTCATATCAGAATATTCGATATGTATGAGAAGCTTGTAAACAAAATATGGCATTTCATGATTCAGGGTCACACTCACACACACAATGCATGCCTACATATAGAAGTTGGCATGTGTGTGCATGTGCCCCAAGAGGGCTGCTTATGAGTTTGCTAATCGATGAATTGGCAATTAGAATTCGAGTGAAAAGCATTTGATTAATAGATATTCATATTTGAATCATTACAGCGACCACAGCGCCATTGGGACTGGTCGTACCTGAGACCTCGTATTCGAGCAGTGAAGGTGAAGATGACTTTTACGATGCCAACGATGATCCGTTCACTAGCCTGGGCAGCTCACCAATTGGCTGGTAAGTGTGCATGTGTGGGTGTGTAAACTAAACAAACGGATATTTGCCAGTGTTGCCATGTGAACAGATGCCGGTTACCTCAATGCGTACAACTGCATTTAAATGCACACATTTGCAAACATACACATGTGTGGGTATGTGTGTGGTTGCTTATGCTTTTTTAAATGCCCGACTTCACGTTTTTTAGTCGGTATTTGGAATTGCGCATGCGCAATGCAGCTGCAGCACAGGTATCACACAGGCAGACAAACACAAACTCATTTACATATGTATGCGTGCACGTGTGTTAGTATTTAAGTTGGTCAGTCGCCTGTAAAGCATTTATGCAATAGTGCAAG